GCTCAACATTCAGAAAACTAAGACCATGGCATCCAGTCCCATCACTTCATGGCAAATAGATGGGCAAACAATGGAAACAGTGAGAGACTTTTATTTTCTTGGGCTCCAAAATCACTGCAAATGGTGACTGCAGCCATGAAATTAAAAGATGCTTGCTCCTTGGAAGAAAAATTATGACCAACCTAGACAGCATATTAAAAAGCAGAGACATTACTTTGCCAACAAAGGTCCATCTAGTCAAGGCTATGGTTTTTCCAGTAGTCATGTACGGATGTGAGAGTTGGACTCTAAAGAAAGCTGAGCGCTGAAGAACTGATGCTTTTGAACTGTAGTCTTGGAGAAGACTCTTGAGAGTCCCTTTGACTGCAAGGAGAGCCAACCAGTCCATCCTGAAGGAGATCAGTCCTGGGTGTTCACTGGACGGACTGATGCTGAAGCTCCACTACTTTGGCTTCCTGATGCAGAACTGACTCATGTGAAAAGACCCTGGTGCTGGGAAAGATTGAAGGCAGGAGGAGAAGGGGACCACAAAGGATGAGATGGTTGGATGGCATCACCGACTCGATGGACATGAGCTTGAATAAACCCCAGGAGCTGGTGAAGGACAGGGAGGCCTGATGTGCTGCAGTCCATGGGGTCACAAAGAGTCGGACACGACTGAGCCACTGGACTGAACTGAAGTTTAAGTAGGAGTCAGCATCAGCAACTTTCACGTCCAACTGGTATGGGTCTACATGCTTGTGGGCGGCCTATCATCATCAATCATTAAGTTTTCCCACCTGGAGGGGTTTCAGTGTCTGCAGAATCGGTTACAGGTAGTGTGTGTGTGTGTGTATATCCGTTGTGGGGGCAACAGGACCTTGCCCCAAGGCTGCCCTTGACTGTTTGTCTCTTCCTGGTCTCACATCCCTGCCCTTCCCTAATTAACTGCTGCTTGCATCTGCCCAGCGGAGCTCAGGGAAGGTCAAGGATGCTGAACGAAGGCTGTTTCTTGCAACCCGGGGAATAGGGAGGGGCAGACAGGCCTTGTGCCTGGGAGCCCCTGAGGGCCCTGCTCGTACTGGTGCGAACGGCCAGCAAGCACATCAGTCGGCGCAGCTGTTCGGTCCCGTCCGACGCTTTGCACCCCACGGACTGTAGCCCAACAGGCTCTTCTGTCCATGGGATTTCCCAGGCAGGAATACTGCGCTGGATTGCCATTTTCTCCTCCAGGAACTCTTCCCAACCCAGGGATCAAACCCTCATCTCCTGCATTGCAGGCAGATTCTTTCCTGCTCAGTCATTGCGAAAGCCACATTAATCATCAGGGAAATGCAAATTAAACTACAGTGAGATACCAGTACACATCCACCAGTATATTTAAAATTAAAATGACTGATACTGCCAAATGTTCACAAGGATATCGGACATCCAAAACTTTACCTTGTCAATTGGTGCAGCTACTTTGGATAAAAGTTAGTTTCTCATAAAACTAAACACCGCCACGATGGTCACAGAGTCAGACACAACTGAGCGACTGAACTGAACTGAACTAAACTAAACTATGACCCAGCAATTCCACTCCTAGGTATTTACCCAAGAGATGTGAAAACATACATCCACAAACACTTGTGCAGGAATGCACCTAACAGTTTTATTTATGATGACAAACATCTTTTCATTTTCCTTTTGGTAGTCCACTGATTTTTAATTGCACGTAGGGATAATTCAGCAAATCAACAAATAATGCGACCCCATGGACTCTACAGTCCATGGACTTCTCCAGGCCAGAATACCGGAGTGGTTAGCCCTTCCCTTCTCCAGGGGATCTTCCCAGCCCAGGGATCATACCCAGGTCTCCTGAATTGCAGGCGAATTCTTTGCCAGCTGAGCCACCAGGGAAACCCAAGAATAGTGGAGCGGGTAGCCTATCCCTTCTCCAGCAGATCTTCCTGACCCAGGAAACAAACTGGGGTCTCCTGCATTGCAGATGGATTATTTACCAACTGAGCTATCAGGAAAGCCAAACAGATAACAGATAGTGGCAATATTATTGGGGAAATACAGCAAAGCAGGAGGATAAAATTACCGGCTCAATCTTGATGCACTTTCTAATACTGTAATCAGAGAAGACGTAATAATGAGGTGGCACTGAAGAAGGGCCTGAGGAGATGAGGAAGAAATCCAAATCCATACGGAATTCAAGGGAAACTTGGCAAGTAGAGAGGAAGCATGTGCAAAGACCCTGAGGTGATGTGTTCAAGGAAAATCAGGAACTCAGGAAGGGGAGTGAAATACATAAATTGAGGTCAGGTCACTAGGTATTTGTGTAAATTAAAAGGATCTTAGAAAACATCAGAAGAATTTCAGCAGAGGAGAGTCATACCCTGGTGGATGCCAAGCACTTTTAATAGTCCTGGTTTCTATCAGTAAGGAGAGAATGAATATTCAAGCAATAAAAAGGGACAGATCAGTAAGATATATAACGTGGCTAGATCTCAGAAATACAGTGCTTTACACAAAAGAATACATAACTATGAATCCATTTATATGAAGATCTAGAACAAGCAAAACTAATTTCTACAAAGGGAAAACAAGTTGATGCAGAAAAATTCAGAACACTGATTTCCTCTGTAGGAATGTGGTTGGGAACTTGCTGGGAAGGGACCTGGGATATTTGGTGAACAGGTTGGATAGATAGGTGTTTAATTTGCAACAGTGAATGCATTTGCCAGAACTCATTTAATGGTACAGTTAAGATCTGTGCATATCATAGTATGTAGATTTTATTCCCAAACGACAGTATCTGTAAGTAAGTAGGGTTGTATTGATCTCTACCTGCTTCCCAGGTTGCTCAGTGGTAAAGAATCTGCCTGCAATGCAGGGGTTTGATCCCTGGGTCGGGAAGGTCCTCTAGAGAAGGAAATGGTAGCCCACTCCAGTATTCTTGCCTGGAAAATCCCATGGATGGAGGAGCCTGGTGGGTTACAGTCCATGGGGTCTCAACAGAAGTCAGACACGACTGAGCTCTCGGAAGTAGAATGCAGGAGCGGTGCAGAGTGGGGGCGGGGAGGAGGAGTGCACCGCTGTCTGCCACTTAACTTGGAAATGAATCCAAACGAGTTGAGTTGGATGGAAAGAGGGACGGACATATGTAAGAAAGCACGAATAGTAAAATGTTCGTTGAGTACAAGGCAATTCACAGTAACATTCTTTCGACGTTGGGGTGGGGGACTCATCACCCATCGCAGGACTCGCCCTGGGTGGACACACATGCTCCTCCTATAATCGTTGTCCTCTAAAGCCCTTGCTCCCAAGAGGCTAGATAAAAGCAGGGCATCCAGGAGTGGATAACGGAGAGAAACTAGAGAGGAATACTGGCGGCATCAGGACTTTGAGTGGCAGGGGACGGGCACCTGGAAGTGTGTGCTTTAATTCTCTGCTCCTGGCAGGATCGGTGGGTGGGCCCTGAGCCCGGGGCCACTCTCAGGAGGCGAGGAAATTCTCGTTCATTGGAAGATGCCCACGCATCTTTTCCTCCGGGGTCTGCCTTCACCCCTGCAGGCCAGGGCGGGTGATTCCGGAGGGGACGGGAGCGCGGGTGGGGGCGAGCCGCGTCTGGAGGGGACGGAGCGCCCTCTTCCGGCCCCGGAGGTCCCGCACGGGCCGGTGAGGCTGCCCCCGCCTCCGGCTCCCCTCTCCGGTCCGCGTCCGGAGGGGAAGTGCCGCAGCCCCGGCGGCCCAGCCGCGGGGCCGGGTTCAGCAGGTGGGCGCTGGCGCTGGGGCGGCTTCGCGCGGCCGGGGGCGGAGGACCGGGGTGTCGCCCCCGCGGCTCCACCTGTTGCAGCGCTGAGCGCGCGGGCCGGCCGGGCGGGGCGCGCCGAGGACCCGGAGGGCGGTCTGGCCGGAGCGGGCACTGCTCAAGAGGCTGGACGCGAGCGCGGCGCCAGCTCCCCCTGCAAGGCGAGCTCTTGGGGCGGGGCCCCGGGAGGCTCGCGGGCGCGCCTGTGGCCGGTCGGCCTCGGGTGGGGATGGCGCTCTCCGAGCCGAGCCCTGTCGGATCTCTCGAGCCCGCCGAGGCGGCCAAGCCCGAGCCTGGGAGCTGGAACTCTCCTGGGTCATTGTCTCGCGGCCGCGCGCCCCTCCAGATCCCGGTCCTCCGCAGCCTGTCCAGGAGCTGGGGCTGGCGCGTGGCGCTCGTTAGCAGCGGGCGGGCCGGACACGTGGGCGCCCCCAGGCAGGGTCCGAGGGCCAAGGGCGCCCGGTGCGGACACGGCGAGGGAGGTTTCCTGCGGGAAGGGCCCCTAACCTCCTCGCCGCCTCGCCCCAGCCTCCCTTTCTGGTCTCCTCCTCCAACCAGCCCGGCCGCCGGCTGCCGCGCAGCGCGCGGAGGTCGCAGGCGGAGAAGAACGCTTGGCACGACCGCTCTGTGCGTGCGCCCCCCGGGGACCGGCTCCACCCAGTCCCTGAGCCCCGGCCACCGGCCGGTGACGCGAAAGGCCCGAGGCCCCGCGCGACGCCGAGGCCGGGACGCGGCCGCACCGCGGACTCAGCGGGGAGGCACTTGCAGCGCCAGCGGAGCGAGGCCCCGCGTGCCAGCCGTCGGCGGCCCGAGAAGCGACGGTCGAGGCGCCGGGGCCGTGGGACCCCGCTCCCCGTCAGCCCGCGAGGCCCGCAGACCCCGTCTCTGGGGGCGGGTCCGAGGCTTCTCCTGAGGACGCCCCACGCCCCCCCTACCCTGAGCGGGGCCGGGCGCCAGGGGGCACGGCGGCGCACCCTCGGGCCCCGCAGAAGCGGGCTGAGCCCCGGGAGGGCGGGGGCGGCGGCGGACCAAAAAGCGGATTTGAAACCGCGCGTCAGGGCGGACGTGGCAGCTAGCGCTGTCCACGCGGCGGCCCCGGGAGCCGCGCGGCCGGAGGCGATGAGCGAGGCGGCAGCCGCGCGGCCCGGGGCGGGCTGAGCGCGCGGCCGCGCCCCTACCTCCCGGGGAGACCCGGCGACGGTCGGCCCGGGTCCCGGCCATGGCCGGCCGGGGCTGCGGAGGCGGCTGCGGGCCGGGTCGCGCGAACGAGGACAACGCGCGCTTCCTCCTGCTCGGCGCGCTCCTGGCGCTCTACCTGCTGGGCGGCGCGGCGGTCTTCTCGGCGCTGGAGCGGCCGCACGAGCGCCAAGCCCGGCAGCGCTGGGAGGAGCGCCTGGCCGGCTTCGGCCGCCGCCACAACCTGAGCCGCGACGCGCTGCGCGGCTTCCTCCGCCACTTCGAGGAGGCCGCGGCCGCCGGCGTCCGCGTGGACGGCGCGCGCCCTCGCTGGGACTTCCCGGGCGCCTTCTACTTCGTGGGCACTGTCGTGTCCACCATCGGTGAGTGCGCCCCGCGGGGGGCGGCGGGCGGGCCGGGCGCTTCCAAGGGCGGCCCCCGCGCTTCCCAGCCCCGCCATCCCCGCGCCCGGCCGGGCGGCGCAGCTGGGACCCGCTGAGGAACCAACAGGTGACGGGGCCTCCTTGCTGTTTGCGGCGAGGTCCGCGGACCAGCGGCAGAGCAACCTGGAGCTTGTTCTAAACGCAGTCCCAGCCCCGCCCGCACCCCTGGAGTCGGAATCTGCGGGTTCAGAAAATCCCCAGGGGGCTGAACGCTCAAGTTGGAGATGCTCTGTTCTGGGAGATGTTCAGTCTAGTTAAGGAGGCTGAGCTTGAGTTCACGGAATATTAAGGAGAACGCTTACAGATGGGGACTAGAACCTGCATTTATTAAATGAATTCAGCTCAGTCATGTCCGACTCTTTGCAAGCCCATGGATTGCAGCACGCCAGGCCTCCCTGTCCATCACCAACTCCGGGAGTTTTCTCGAACTCATGTCTATTGAGTCGGTGATGCCATCCAAGCATCTCATCCTCTGTCGTCCCCTTCTCCTCCTGCCCTCAATCTTTCCCAGCATCAGGGTCTTTTCAGATTAATCAGTTCCTCGCATCCAGTGGCCAGAGTATTGGAGTTTCAGCTTCAGCGTCAGTCCTTCCAATGAATATTCAGGACTGATTTTCTTTAGGATGGACTGCTTGGATCTCCTTGCGGTCCAAGTGAAGTCACTCAGTCGTGTCCGACTCTGTGACCGCAGGGACTGTAGCCTACAGGCTGCTCCGTCCATGGGTTTTTCCAGGCAAGAATACTGGAGTGTGAAATGGGTTAGTACCTTGCATAAAGCACTGGTCTGAGGGGGAGACACATTGTAAAAAGACTGACCATGACTTCCTACTTCACAAAGAGAAAATAGGCTAAATATGAGTTTGGAGGTAAGGAGGCAAAAGTGCTAATGAAGATGAAAATTGTTTTGTACCAGGCGGAAGCTGGTGGGGGTCTGCAGAAGGGGCCTACGGGCTGACCTGATTGGGGTCTGGAGACAAAAGCGCTTCACACTCTGGAAGAGGAGAGAGTTGCTCTCAGGGCCCAGTGAGCTGCCTGGTCTTGATGGAGTGGTGGAAGGAGAGCTAGGAAGGTCTTCTGGCCGATGGGGTGAGGGAGGGAGCTCTCCTGCGGACCTGGAGCTGATCGAGAGGCAGTTGGGAGCTAGTGAGAGTTTCTGAGCGAGAGTGTCGCATGGCCGCCACCTGTTCTGCCTTTATTACCAGCAGAAGGAAAAAGATTGGGGGTCTTTGCACTCCCAGGACGTGCTCACCCTTGAATGCAATGAGTGATAAGGGGCTTGGGGGGAGATGCTCCACAAATTCTAAAGAAAGCCGAGGGCTGGAGTGGAGGAGGGGCTTTGAAAGGCTTCCCAGAAGCGGAGGGGCGCAGGGCTGGCTGCTGGAACCCCAGGAGCACCAGTAGGGCTGGCAGGGGCCCGGGGGTGTCCTGCTGCTGTGGCCCCGCGCTGCCGGAGAGCTTGTCCACGAGGCGGGTGACACGGCGAACTTCCCTGACGCTCACACTCAAGGTTGTCTTAGGCAGACATTCTGCCAGGAGGAGGAGCGCCAAGTGCAACAGAGATCAGCCTCGGGCCTGGGTAGTCAGGAAAGACTGCCTGGGTTCGTCCAGAAGCCCAGGGCCTCAGCCGGTGAGCAGGACGCCAGGTGGAGGGGGCTGGTGTGGTTACGGACCCGTGGGCTCTGCCAGAAGTCCGTGCACGCAGGCACTTCAGTCCAACTGTGTGACCCCCCTGGACTGCAGCACGCCAGCCTCCTCTGTCCATGGGAGTCTCCAGGCCAGAACACTGGAGTGGGTTATGCAGGAGATGTAAGACATGCAGGTTCGATCCCTGGGTCGGGAAGACCCCCTGGAGGAGGGCATGGCTACCCACTCCAGTATTCTTGTCTGGAGACTCCTGTGGACAGAGAAGCCTGGTGGGCCACAGTCCATGTGGTCAGGAAGAGTTGGTCTCGATTGAGTAACTGACACCCAGTCGGTGGGAGATTTAAGTCATCCCCACCCTCTCCACAAGCCCCCCGTCTGTACTTCCCATGGACACAGAGGTCGGAAGGAGCAAATACGTGTGTAGACTGGTGAACACCAATGCCAGGGAGCCTCGGGCGTCGTGGATGGGTGGGCATGTGAGCTCACCTGGGGCGCAGATGGAGCACTGTAGCCCATGGGACAGAAGGAAGCCTGGACCGAGCGTGGAGTCGGGGCTCCCCACCCTGCCTGTGACAGGGCCGGTCTCTTAGCGTCCGGAGCCCCATCCTTGTCCTCTGAACCATCTGTAGGTGCCCACGCTGGTATCTGGCACGCTGTAGCCGTTGAGTAAATATTAGTCCTGTCTCCCTCCCACACCCTGCCCCGAAGCCTGCCCCTCTGAAGGGTTCTTATAAGGGATAATGAGCTCATATAATTAATTGTTCTTTAAAAAGTACAAAGCACTGTATAAGTATGGGTTTATTTTTCCTCTCTCGTATCTCACGTTTCCTTAAATTGTTTCATTAATTGCTGATGGAGTGACTCGGTACTTGCTGACCTTTATTGGGCTACATCATTAGGCATCACTGTGATTGTTATGTGAGGATGTAACACAGCTAGTTGCATAAATTAATCACAATTTCAGTCAACATGATTCCTATGCTAAGTGTGATTATCCCTATTTTATAGATGAGGAAACTGAAGCTTCATGTTTGTAAAGAAGAAAAAACCATCTGTAGTGACGTCACCTAAAATTAACCATGGTTGACATTTTGATATGTTACATTTTTTAACTGAAGTCTAGTTGATTGACAGTGTTGTGTTAGTTTTAGATGCACCACGAGGTGATACAGTTATACATACACAGCACCTGTTTTTTTTCAGATTCTTTCCCCTTACAGGTTATTGCAAAGTATTGAATATCGTTTTCTGTTCTTTGTTCCCCATGGACACACATGTACATACATATTTTTCTAAATTTGGATCATATTCTATAAACCATTTATATCATGTGTTTTTTTTCCCAATTATTTTTATTAGTTGGAGGCTAATTACTTTACAATATTGTAGTGGTTTTTGCCATACATTGACATGAATCAGCCCTGGATTTACATGTGTTCCCCATCCCGATCCCCCCTCCCACCTCCCTCCCCATTCCATCCCTCTGGGTCTTCCCAGTGCACCAGGCCTGAGCACTTGTCTCATGCATCCAACCTGGGCTGGCGATCTGTTTCACACTTGAAACATGTTTTGATGCTGTTCTCTCAGATCATCCCACCCTCGCCTTCTCCCACAGAGTCCAAAAGTCTGTTCTGTACATCTGTGTCTCTTTTTCTGTCTTGCATATAGGGTTATCGTTATCATCTTTCTAAATTGCATATATATGTGTTAGTATGCTGTAATGGTCTTTATCTTTCTGGCTTACTTCACTTTGTATGATGGGCTCCAGTTTCATCCATCTCATTAGAACTGATTCAAATGAATTCTTTTTAATGGCTGAGTAATATTCCATGGTGTGTATGTACCACAGCTTCCTCATCCATTCGTCTGCTGATGGGCATCTAGGTTGCTTCCTTGTCCTGGCTATTATAAACAGTGCTGCGATGAGCATTGGGGTGCACGTGTCTCTTTCAGATCTGGTTTCCTCGGTGTATATGCCGAGGAGTGGGATTTGCTGGGTCATATGGCAGTTCTATTTCCAGTTTTTTAAGGGATCTCCACACTGTTCTCCATAGCAGCTGTACTAGTTTGCATTCCCACCAACAGTGTAGGAGTGTTCCCTTTTCTCCACACCCTCTCCAGCATTTATTGTTTGTAGACTTTTGGATAGCAGCCATTCTGACTGGCGTGTAATGGTACCTCATTGAGGTTTTGATTGCATTTCTCTGATGATGAGTGATGTTGAGCATCTTTTCATGTGTTTGTTAGCCATCTGTATGTCTTATATCATGTGTTTTAACTGTATTACATGATGGTTTTTTCTTCTAAAAATTAGTGCCACTATGCTTTACTATGCAAAGATGTTGAGGTAACGATAACAAGAAAGCGTACGATAGAATAATCATAAAGTGTAAGTAAACTTCAGAATTAGGAAAAAATAACAGAAATATGGAAAGCAGCTGAATCGAGGCAATTGCCCGAGGGGAGCTCCATCTTAGCTTAAGTTCCCTCAGATGTAGACTCTGAGCAAAGAATCTGAGTGCAAGCAGTTTCCTGGTAGATTCAAGGGACACAGGGAGGTGCAGGAGGAACCGATACAGAAAAGAGAAGTCTTTCAATGCAGGGCATGCTATTAGGCAGAAACCAGAGCGGGCAACTGATTCTTAATCCCAGGTTGGAAGCAGTGGAGAACAATGCAAAGCTGAGGAACCAGACTTACTCCAGGTAAGGGAGCTGGGGTATTTATACACCCACGCCCATCAGAAACTGGTCAAAAACTGCTTAGAGGATGTGGGGAAGCACAAAAAAATAATTCCCAGATACCTCTGGACTGACTTTTCCTGAACAGCCCAAGAGTAGCCTTCTGATGATATGCAGGCACTGGCCATTTGAAATCAGGCTGGTGTGCCCAGAACTGGTTAAAGGAGATCCCAGGGGTGTGACTGAGTGTCACCAATGACTGTTCAAGCTTCAGATGTGGCTGCATGTATATGGCAGAGTCATGACCCACACTGGAATTCTGATGAGAAAAAGGAAGCATTAACCTTTTCCCAGTATGATGCTGAAGCGGAAGCTCCAGTACTTTGGCCACCTGATGCGAGGAGCCAACTCATTGGAAAAGACCCTGATGCTGGGAAAGATTGAGGACAGGAGAAGGGGACAGCAGAGAATGAGATGGTTGGATGGCATCACCGACTCAATGAACATTAATTTGAGTAACTCTGGGAGTTGGTGATGGACAGGAAGGCCTGGCATGCTGCAGTCCATGGGATCGCAAAGAGTCGGACACAACTTAGCAACTGGAAAACGTCAACAAT